TATGCGGTAAACATTTCATGGGAAATTATAATACACTACAAAGATTTTGAGAAGCTGTCGTCTAGGTGAAAATAGTCTTACGAATATTGGCCTGTAGGGCACGGATTGTCGCATCTGGTGCGGATTTTCTAAAATCAAGTTGTAAATGTTATAAATTCGTTGGGTGCTATAGATTCCCATTTGAACACTACAGTTATATGTGCATATATAGGTATCTGAAAAAATTGGCGTTTTGCAACACTGCGGGCGCGATTTTATCGCGCTAAAATTTGTCTAATGAATTGTTAAGAAGCACCCAAGAGTGCTTGGGAATAAATTTGATTACTTATAATGTATATTTGCCAACAGGAAGCGGCGGGGCCTTCGCTGGACTTTTATGTGTCCGACTCCATGCAGGATATGTTGGATGTGGACATAAGGGCAGAGATTGCGAACGTTGTGGGCAGCTCAAGTGACTTGACCTCCTCGCTCGATCACGCACTGGAAGCCATTTCGGCTATAAACAATAGTAACAACAACAGCAGCAGTATATCATCGTCGACACACAATGCAAATGCAAATCTGCTGGCCAGCAGCGCACTGCACGCCTCTCCCACAGCCAAGTGGATGGGCTCTTGCGCCAATTTCTGGTCCACAGCCGATTATTATGCGGATGTTGGGGCATGTGTCAATCCCATTTCCGTGATGCCGCTAATCAACTCAAACTCCGGCTCTAATTCATTGCTTGGCTCTGGATCGCCCCAAAAGTCGCGTGGTGCCCAGTCGACGCAGAGCAGAGCGGGATCTGCGGCTGGACAGGCGCCGCCCGCCTCTCCATGCGATCAGCACAAATCGCATTTGACCTTCTCGCCAGCACAGATGAAAGTAAGCGCCGGTTCAATGCGCAGAGAGCAGGTGATGGCCCATATACCCAAGCAAATTTCGGCTCTGCCAATTTCGTCGTCGGCTGCGACCGGCGGCGGTACCACGGCGCCGGCTACAATGGCAACCAATTCTGCACTGCAGCGTCGCAATTCGTCGGCAGTGGATGCTGTGCGCAAGGATCTGGGCACTGAGCTGCGCAAGGCGCAGTCCGGCTTGGAAGAGACAAAAGCCACTGCCAAAAACACTAGCCTGCTAACGGCTGGTGGCGCTACCAACACCATTAAGCTGGGTCCCGGCATTGGTGGCCTGACCTTTGCCAACAGCGCCACATACAACAAGCTAAAGCAGCAAACGTCGGCAAAGTCCCCCAACGGCGCACCGCTCACTTCCAATGGCAACATCGTGCTCAAGCGGGATCGTGAAGCGAGTCCGTTGCATAACATTACGACGCTGCACGCGGGCGGTGTTCAGAAACGGGGCAATGCGCCAAAAAGCATTGCGTCGGCGGCCCACTCGCCGCATCATCAGATGCATGTGCAGAGCAGCATTGGGTCGCCCTCGTCCACTTGCTCCTCTACTACTGGCCGTCCCACAACGTCATCTTCGCCGTTGTCCTTTGCGGCGCTTAGCAACAACGGCTTCAACAGCAACAATAACAACAACAATACCAACAACAACAATACCAACAACAACAACAGCAGCAGCAGTAACAATATCAAGCCACTGCAGCAGAAGGTGAAGCTGCCGGCGGCCATGAACAGCGCATTTCCGAAGCCCGCTTACTCCTACTCCTGCCTTATTGCGCTGGCGCTCAAGAATTCGCGTGCAGGCTCACTGCCCGTATCCGAAATCTACAGTTTCTTGTGCCAGCACTTTCCCTATTTTGAGAATGCGCCAAGCGGCTGGAAGAACAGCGTGCGCCACAATTTGTCGCTGAATAAGTGCTTTGAGAAGATTGAGCGGCCGGCAACGAACGGAAATCAACGCAAGGGATGCCGCTGGGCCATGAATCCAGAACGTATCTGTAAGATGGATGAGGAGGTACAAAAGTGGTCGCGCAAGGATCCAGGCGCAATACGCGGCGCCATGGTCTATCCCGAACATTTGGAGGCCCTGGAGCGTGGCGAAATGAAGCATGGATCGGCCGATTCTGATGTGGAGCTGGATTCGCAATCTGAGATTGAGGAATCTTCTGATTTAGAGGAGCACGACTTTGATGACACTATGATCGATGCGATGCTAGTCGAAGAAGAGGAAAATGATAATGTTGAGTAAGTAAAAAGAAAAGAAAACCCAATGCAGTACTTCCCATGAACCCTATTAACACATTAACTTCAATTTATAGCTGGACGAACAGTGATGATGAAGATAACGTTCAGGAGGATCACGTGCTTCATGAGTATGAGCCAAGCAACCAATCTGCCAATCACCTGCCAACTGATCATCAGCTGCTAGTCGCACAGAAGAGCGCCGAATTCGACATTGAGGTGAGATTGGTAAACTAACAAGTGCTCGAACTCCAGCAGGGCAGGGCTCTTGTCTTAGTTCTTATATTTATGTTTCGTAATGTTATTCCCGTCAGGTGGACGAGCTGTACGATGCCATCGACATTGAGGATGACAAACAGACAGTGCGCCACGCTATTGCCCACGGTCAAACATCGAGCATCATTGAGCTCAACCCAGCCGATCTGAATGCGAATGATGGCTATCGGTCGCCCAAGCGCGCACGGCTTGACATTAACTATGCCATCGGTCCTGCCGGTGAGCTTGAGCAGAAATATGGCCAGAAAGTTAAGGTGCAGCAGGTGCACCAAGTGATGCAGCAGCAGCCGCCCACGTACAATCGTCGAAAGATGCCTCTGGTTAATCGCATCATATAAGGGAGCAGCCGCCCTTTTATACATACATATATATTATTCACACTAAGTGTTAGGTTTACGTTTAAGGCTCACCCATCAGTTACGCTTAAAACTTTAATCCTAAGTTGATTTTTGTGTGTGCACTGTGCAGTTTCGCTCCATATAAACACACTCGAGTTTAAGTACGTGTGTATGTAGCTCGATCCTATTGATTAAAATAGGTTTGTTATTCAATTCGGCCGCACGCTTTGTAGTCGCTTATAGCAAAAATGTGTCGCAATACAATATTTCCATGTATATTGAAAGGGGTCTTTCAAATAAATGTCTATGTTTCAAGCATTAACTAATATGTGACACATAACTAGGAAGTGCCGTTAACAAATATTTGACGCTTGAGGGAAAACTCAAGAATTAATTGTAATAATATAGTAATTGTAATTGTTTAATCTCCCGAATCCAACAATGACGAAACATAAATTATGTTAATTGTTTTCCAAAATCTTGACTATAAAGAGAATTTTTGAAATTGATCTCCAACGAAAAAAGTAATTTTATGATAATCTATGTTGTAATTACTATTGACGATTGTTTTCTTTACAAATCATGCCTTCTTCTGGCTACCGAAAAGATAACAAGCATAACGCCTAACGCAACAAACATTGAAATGCTCTTCGACAATGCAAGCATTAAAATGTTGGACAACGAAACATGAAGCACTCACCGTTTATATATATTTACACACTTGTTAACTGTACATAAAAATGGCATTTATAAGCATTTTCAGCGAATTTTCTATATAAATATTTGTGAAGGTAATGTTGAAAACAACCACCCAAAACTTGCCGGTCCAGTATTCATGTGACAGATGTTGGTAGAATAATACCAAGTATATACTATATTAATATATAAGATTATAATTAAAGTGCGAATTCTCGTATTAATAATTGAAAGTAGAGTCAATTACATTTTTGAAATATATTATATATTACATATATGGTATGTAAATATTTTTTACCCAAAAGATTGTATACTACTTTAGCTGTAAATGAAATGTATATTAATAACAATGTAACAGTAATATCAACCAAAACCGAGCAGCATTGCAAGAATTCCAAACGAATTGTCAAAATTCTCCAACTGAAAAGACTTGAAAACAACGTATACAGCCGAACATTCAGGACTCAGTTTACATGAATGTAAACAAGACCTCAGATTTTAAATACAAAGTACAAACAGTTTTTAAGTTAACTGAAATAAGGTTATTACAAGTTACAAATAATGTAAATGATTTTTACGATCGATCTATTTGAAGCCATCAAAAATATTTGAAATTCTAATTTACATCTCTCCATAGCCACTTCGCAAAAATCAATAATCATAGTACATACATTTTTTGTTGAAATATTCATTATTTAATAGCAGTTAACAAATTATATATTATAAGTACGAAATATGTGTATTATATATCAAATTTTTAAGCAAAATTAACAATTTTTGTATAGAGTTGTTAGAAAATCAATTTGTACAACACAATTGAAATCAAAAAAAACAAAAAAAAAAAAAAACAATAAAAAAATTTCAAGCCATTTGATTACTTTATTTTTTTATAATTCTTTACCTTTTTTTAACATAATTATTTATTTATTTTATTTAAAGTTAATGTATTGCGTATATCTATATGTCTGCCTAATGTGTTTAGTGTAGGGGAGCAGTGGAATGTGTGGAGTTAGACTCTTTCAGGGAGGTCAAGTGGGTGTCCTCTTTTGAGCCGTCTAGTTGTTGAGCTGGTGTCTAATAGGCCAATGGCAAGATTATTTGGGTGGTTGCCTAGTCTGGCGATGTAGCGATCACTCAGCTTGGCAATAGCCTCTTTAACCCAAGGAATGTTTAGCTGGCTGTGGATTACCTGACCAAAAAAAAGTTTGAAATGCGTAAATTTGTTTTTAGTGGAGAGAGCATTGATACTAAGCCTGATGCCGATGGAACGCCTGGCACTTTGTTCTTATAACCTTTCACCCGCATTTATCATCCAAGACGAGTAAATTTTGCAAAAAGTGTGAAAAAATCTAAAATATATTTTCACAAAGATCTGTGAAAAGGAGTTTAAAGCTGATACAATCGATTTTTTTCCCTATATATACCAAAAATGAATGTAAGCACAGATCTTCGAAAATGACGAACAAGAAGTTTAATATGTTTTTTACACTTGCGGATGGATTTTCCTAAAGATGATAATGTCTTAAATAAAAACTAGGATAAGATGCCCTACTATTTACAACTTTATTTAAACGACTAAAATTATGAAAAAGGGAAGAAGCACAGCCTCTGCGTATGGTGCATGTTCTTGCATACGTATACATAACATGTATTCGGAATGTTTCTTATGGCATCTGGGCGGTAGGTAAATAGTGGTACACGGCATCTCCGAATCAGGCAGTTCCAACTAAAGGAGATGTCACTTGCTTCCTTAAAAAACAGACTGCAGTAAGGTATTTATTATTATATTATATATATTATATAATGGTCCGGAATGCATGTAGTAAGATGGTTAAAAATATCAGAATACAATTACATACATTACATTTATACATACAGCGCAAGTATAAAAGGTTAGCACACCATTCGATAGAAATAAATACGTTTATTTACTTTTAAGACATCTTTATTTCACATTTATAAATAGGTAGATTTGATTTGAATTGATATTCCATTTTGTTTTCGTTTCATTTAGGTTTTGCTTTTGCAACCAATAAAGCTCAAGATTTCAGCTTAGTATTTGCAGATTGAGCAATAAGTTTTGTATAATTTCTTTTGTTTCGAACAATTTTGCTTGGAAAGCAATCGTAAAGCCTACTGGTCCGATTTCGCGTCTATATTAAAACTGTACCACAAAATCGGGCAGCAATACAGCTTGTGTAAACTTAATGACGTTGAGTTTTTTTATTGCGCAATGATATCGTAAAACTCAGTTCTTAAAGATAGGTCATACAACAATATTGGGAAACACACAGATTTAAAATTTTGAGAGCATTAGCACAATAGGAATAATATACTGACTTATATATTGACAGTTATATAAGACTTCACTTTGATTGGTTGTGATTTAATTTTTTACAATTCGGACCTTGCCGTATGCAAAATGTTCTTGTTTTCTCGTTTGCAAGAGATATTCCTTCTAAGACTAGATTTCTTTGAGTTTCTTACATTGTATCTCCTGCGTTTAGCTTATTCTAGTTGAATGGCTTACAAAAGGTTTTCTTGCTAGAATAAATACCTAAAATGGCATAAAATACTTTCTTGGGTGCCTCTGTTAAAATATTTCTCTGTACTTGTTGCTTTGTATATGCTTCAGGAATTACCATACAAATGTTCAGTTGCAGTTTAAATATATCTATACATATATATGTATATAAGTGTGTGTGTGTGTTTATTTATTTTTCAGATACAAACACATGTACGTAGGTATGCAGTAAAATGTATGGTTTTTAAAAATTGAGTGTTCATATTTGCACATTTAAGGCCTGTAGTTTACTTAACTTAGTTTTCCATTGAGCAAGCCGTTCCAGCCAGATTTTTTTGCTTCCTTAACTAATCTATACAGTTCTGCAATCAGTGCATATGGTAGATGTGTTTTTGTGCGTACCTTCACATGCAAATGCAAATGGGGGTGTGTGCTTTTTCGTTGTGCATGTATGCGCCGAGCACTATGCTGTACAATTTTCGTTGAAACCAGACAAAACTGATGTGACAAATAGCTTTTCTTAAAGTTAAACACAAGTATCATAGTTTAGTTAGAGGCTAAGTTCACAAATACTAATGCACATGTACTTAAACTAAAGTGTATCCCATTAATACATAATCAGATCAGACAAGGCCAACGCTGCAAGGGCGTGACTAGCTTGCTGCTTGGACGGTTCCTTACTTGAATGTGGGGGCAATTCTTTAAATATATAATAATATTTAATCTGCTTGCATATAGACAAACATACAAATGCCTAAAAGCTAACTGATTATGTTTACAGTTGAGAAGAACTTAATCTACAACCTAATACACGAATACATAGACACATCTTTGACTTTTAAATGCACAGTTGAAACGGACCTTTTGAATGGGGGATCGATTTGGTATAGCCAAATAATTTCAGTTAACATAAATTCTATGATTACTCGATACATACAAAGCCAGGCTATTCGCCTGTGTTGCACTGCATACCACTCATTCCTGCTTCAGACGCTTGGCTTCGTTGCCTGCGCTAGTGGCACTTGCAGCAGCAGCTAATGGACCAGCTCCACTGACCGAGCTAGCCGTTGTTTGTTGTTCCCCATCGCTGGTTATGTAGGCGAACTGACACTCGAATTCAAAGTCCATTTCTTTCTTCTGATCAAAGGTTGACAGTTAATAGATGGCACTCTCGTTAGTAGGTGCTTTGGTGCTTACCATGCGCTCACAAATGACCGCTATGGCCGTCTTCTGCTGCGCCTCGGCTATCTTGTGCTCCACCAGATAGAACATGTATTCATCGAACAGCAGGCGTATTAGGTGAAAGCTGCCGAAGCTCGATGCGGACCGCAGTGTCAAGTCTCTTATGATCATGGAGCTGTAGAAGCTCCATTTAAGCAGAAACTGACGTGCGGCTCGCGCGTAACTTGGCTTGCCTGTGTACTCCTCCATCGCGGATTCGACGACAAGCTGCAGCCAGCTGGCCCACTGCTCTAATGAGCTTTGCTGCTGCAGTGCCGCCTTGAAATCGTTCTCCAGACGCTGAACCACAGCTGGTGCACATTGGCTTACCCAGGCGGCTTGCTCCTGTAACATAGTTAATTTACGTTTTTGTTTAAGTTACAACCATTGACACATCAACTACTTTTAATCGACGCACCTGTACATTGTGAAAGTCCACGCGATTAAGATCGTTTAGCATTTGGGATATCTGCGCACCGTTCTGAAGCACAGCCCGTGCCGCCTGTGCCAGATGATTAAGAGATGTGTAGCGACGCAGTGTCTGGCAAAATGCCGAAACAGCGCTGGTCTTGATCTGCGAAAGCTGCTCCGGCACGCCCAGCATACTTTCGCACAGCCACAGCTCCAGGTTTTTTGCAAAGTTGCGAATTGCTTGTGTGAGTGCATTGGGTATCGAGCGGAGTACATCCGGTATTATTACGTCCACTGTATTCTGGTAGAACTGATAGTCCACCTGTTAGTAAGATTGGATTCAAAAATCATTTAATACTTTTTATATAAACGGTTATAAAAATATCGCAGTATCAAATTATATAGCTATCGTTTTATGGCAAGAAAAATCCGCCGAAAATTAATCTCTTGTATCAAAATTTTTTTCAAGATATCTTGTTTGTTGTGTTATTTTTTATATAAGCCTAAACCTATCAATATCGAACCACTTCATCAGATTATTAACTATGCTCATTGCATATTTGCAACATCTGTTAACATCGGACTACCATATTATATAGCTACCATTAAACGATCTACCGAAAATTAAAAACTGTTTTGCCAAAATATCTCGGCCATACCATACCATGCATTGTAATTGTCAGAGATGCCTCCTTTTATACGTCATACATTTCTGGACAAAGTTATAATACAATCTACAAGCTTAATAAGCTTAAATACTAAATCATAATTAGCTATTCCCGTTGATAACCACCTCGGCTATACTATGTCTGGTTTCTATATTCAGTTGTTCTAATAGAATTTACAGTGAACACATTCATAATTCGAGGCATTCACCGTACTCACCTCGCGAACAAACTTTTGCACTTCTGCGCAGTGGCACAACAGATACAGCTTTGTCTTGCTCAAGTACTTCTCCTCCTCGCACTCGTCCAGATTGTTGTTGTCCGAGGTGCGCCAAAAGTCACGCAGCAAAAATTCGACTGTGCCAAACTCCAGATTGAGCACAGCATCCAGAAATGATTCGCAGTGCTCACGGTACAGGGCACGGAACGTGTCCACATCATCCAGGGTGAGTTCAGTGTGAAAGCTGTGGTTCAGTTCGATGGGCGGAAAGACTGGCATTGCGCCAGCACCGTCGCCAATGTACTACAAGCGAGATGAACATGAAGAATGAGTAATGCTTAGAATCGGATTTGAGAATTCACGCATTGCCTACCTGTATGCACGCCTCGTAGGTTTCCGGCTTGAAATTGTGCTTCTTGGCGCCAGCATTGCGCTGGCCAGAAGACGAGGTCATTCCATTGCTACCATTTGAGCTGACCAGTTGGCTGGCGTTGCTGCTGCTGACGTTGGCGATGGCTCCATTGCCAGGCGGGGTGCCATAGCCCTGCAGCGATTTATCCTCCATGGACTGATGGATTAGTAGCGATCCGGGCTTGATGCGAATGCCATAATAGTGGTACTTTGAGTTTCCGCGTGTGCCCAGGCGACGTGTGCGCAGACCGGAGAACACAGAGCGTATCAGCTTGCCGAAGCTGGCTGCATTCACCGGTTCCAGCTTCTGCTCGTTGCAGTGCTGCATGTAGTGGTTATACAGCGTAGAGCGTGGCAGACTGACTCCATCGGCCGTCTCGTAGTTGCGCGATAGCCACTTAATCTACAAGCGTGCGAGAGAGATGTTAGCAACGCTGCTACTGCTATTGCTGCCGAAGCCGCTGCCAGTGCTGCTGCTCTTGGGCAGAGTATGTCGGACCCACCATGCTCTTACTCATGCCAAAAACAGATCCCCTACTACTCACCGTTGCCGAGGCAATTTTGTTGCTGGTGGCCATGGCGCTCTGGTCACTATCGGGCGACGCCCCATCGACCCCGTTGCCGATGCTGCCGCCGCTGGCTGAATTGGTGGTTGTTGTGGAGGTGGGCGTTTGCGGTGTGCTCTGCGCCTCCTGTATGTAGGATACCTCATGCTACATTGAAGCCAAATGGTAAGTCCATGTCACCGGCTCACTGAACTCTCGTTTTTTACTCACCGTCAGGCTGTGCGGTGAGTCCCGGCTGTGTGATTGCGAGGACCCATTCAACAACAGGGTATCGTCCACTGGAACCAGGTACGGCAGCGTCGTGGAGTGTGCATTCGCTGTGCTCCCTGCCGTAGTGGTTGTATAGTTACCGGTGGCTGCCGAGGTTGAGTAGTATGTCTGGCCATTGCTCTGGTAGTCGCCCACCGGACAGAACGGATACGTCCTGTGGACAGGACAACATATTAAACAGTGAGGCCATGCTGCCCATGCTGATGAACTTACATTTGTGTCTGGCTGGAATTACTATGATACAGCTCCGAGTCAACATATTGCACTTGATAGTTTTGATCCTGACCGGAAACTGAAAGGCAACAACACAAATATGAGAAAAACAAACATAAATAAACAAACAGACAATAAATTACTCAGACGATACAAAATTAAAAGATAAACGATATATTGCATTTTGTTAAAATATTTCCTACTACCCGCGCTTTGAAATTTAAGAACAACCGTCTATACGATATTTTTGCATCACACAGTTCTGATAATTTCGATCTAAAAATATTGCATTATGCAAATGACTGTTTAAACATAAAAGCTTGCAATTTATATGCGTATTCAATACAAAGAAAAGTGTCTATTTGAGCTTGCCTTGAGTTTAATTTGCAAATCAAAACTTTTTGCAGCATACCTTTTGGAGCAAGCTACAATATGTTAAATCTTGGACGAACTTAAAAATGTGTTACACGTATTTAGCAATTTGAGACGGGAAAAGGAAAAAAATTAAAATACAGCTGATTGATTTAATATACATTTCTGGCACAATATAAGTTTTGTCTGGTGCTTGTAAAACCAGATAACTCAAATGTGTAAATGCATGTAAACAGGTAGAAGGAGGCATCTCAGACCGCATAAAGTGTATATATATACTACCTAATATCGAGAGCTGAATCGATCTAGCCAGCTCCGTCTATATATCTGTATGTCTACCCCGGAGGTCAAAGAGCTAAATTCTTGCAGCACGATTCTTTTAGCTCATCGAAATGAATAAGAATCGATATCCAAATCCTGTTTTTCAAACCTATCTCGGAGCTTTAAAGAAACACCAAATTTGGTATGTACACTCTTGTATAGAATACACAGATACAGAATATTTAACCCTTTGCATACCTTTCCTCGTTCCTCGCAAAATTGAAAAAAACACATTTTTGGAGTTTATATTCTCAGGTTTTGGTATTTACACCCACTTAAGTGCTTTATATGTAAATTATATAAAGATTGGACAAAACATACCTAATTTTAATAAGAATTTCCTATAGCCTAAGTTGAAAGCTGGTTCGTGTGTGTTTATGTGTGTCTTTCTGTTTGTATGTATAGAAGAAGCAGGAATGTTTGTGTCACAGCAGATTGGCATCTGCAGATCGTGCATTCCCGGCTAAAGCACGTCTAATTTTTGTACTCCATTTAAAATACTTAATATTTCTGTGCAATTGTATGTAACAGGCAAAAAAAAACCCCGTGAGTATATATATTCTTGATCAGGATGACAAGCTGAGTCGATAAAGCCATGACCCTCTGCCCATCTCTTAATACAATATTTTTTCCCATTTTCATAATGTCGATCAAAACCGATTTTGAGACATGCTTCTTTAAACGTCACTCGTGTAATATATTAAGATCAGAAATATTTTTCGGGTCCCTCCCCCAGTTCCCTGCAAAGTTAGAATTAACTAATTTTTAAAGGCAGAGCCTCGCGAATTGGAACATACACACAGTTTAGGGTCATATTTGGCACTGAAAATTCAGTAATAATCGGACTATAAAAACCGAAGCTAGTATGGGATGCGAGCTATAATAAACTTGTCACTGAGTTAAGGTTATCTCGTAAAAAGGCACTGTGTGTCAAGTGATGTTTTTATACCCTGAACCCATTAAAAATGGGTATTTGTACAAAATCTAAATGTATGTAACAGGCAGAAGGAAGCATCTCCGACCCCATTAAGTATATATATTCTTGATCAGCACCAATAGCCGAGTCGATCTAGCCATGTCCCTCTGTCTGTCTCACCGTCTGTCCGTATGTATGAACGCAAGGATCTCAGAACCTGTAAGAGCTAGAGACTTGAAATTTAAGATGTAGGTGCTCCTAGTGCCTGCGCAGATCGAGTTTATTTCCGATAATCGATAACCTACTCTGTTTTCAAGCAGTCGATAAAAATCTATATCGATATCCTGTCTTTTGGGCAATTTTGGTAGCTAGAGTCACCAAACTTGACATATAGCTTCTAAAATAGAATATATATATTCATTTCATGTTGGAAGAAGAGGGTTAAGATTATCCCCTAGTCGGGAGCTCCCGACTAGAACCTCTTACTTGTTTATAATTCGATAAATATTTAATGGGAATAGCAATTTTTGCATTTTAGTTTTAGTTACAAACTAACTTATAAATAGTACTAATTCATAGAGAGTTGTTCCAAAAGTGTTTCTCGGTTTCAACAGTTATCCAAAAACGAGGTCACTTGAAAAGCCATCTACCAAAGGCCACCATTAGAAATAAATATTGAAATTTAAATATATTTATACTGATCTATCAGTATATGATCTTATATTGAGGAAACAGAGAGAAAGAAGAAAATCGGAAGTCCATTAGGAAATGTTGATATTCACTTTCTGTTTCACATAAAATCATATGATTTTTTCTACACGGTTAGTCAACTATTAAATAGAGTTTGAAAAAATAAATAGTTGATATTATTTTTAAACATTGTCAGACTATGTTTTATTTGCACAAATATCAGAAAAATGTGATGTTAGATAACATTTCACTGAACTGTCAATGTCCACTTTTTATCAAGTCAGCGACTTCTTCGGATAGACCGATATATGAGGATATGTCTGACAGCCGTTTAACTCCATTTAATTGAAAGTTTACAACATGGCCAATGATGCATGAGTAAGACACTTGACACTTTTGTTTGATGGCCCAAAGTTGGCACACATAAACACAAGCACACACTCACTAACACCCCGCACTCACACTCACGACGGAGAGTGTAAACAGAGCGTCAATTAAAAGCCATTGATAGGATTCGAACTGAAATTGTTGGCTATGCAAAATATTTACCACCGCAATAGGACAAATTGTTGTGACGTCGGTGGTGGTGGTGGTGATACATTGCTGTAGTTGCTGCTGAGCTTGAGGATGTCGCGGAGGAGGCGGCAGCGGCACCAATTGCCGTACAGCTGCTGTAGTTAACAGCACTGGCGGTGGCCACAAACGTCTGGTGGTGATGGTGATGATGATGATGGTGCAGCTGCAACTGCAACTGGGCGGCTGGCAGCGGCGCTAGTGTAGTTGCTGTCGCCGCCACTGGTAACTGTTGCTGGTGCTGATGCTGCGGCAGCAACTGGTGGTGATGTTGAGCTAGTGGCTGCTGCTGTTGCTGTTGTTGCTGATGGTGGTGCTGTGGCTGCAGCTTACAGCGGCACTTCTCCAGGAGATTCGTGTAGGCGGCAGCGGCAGCAGTGATCGGCGGCGGTGGCGTGATATCCAACTCGGGAAGATGATGGTATTGGGGCTGGTGCTGGTGCTGGTGCGGGCTCTGATGCTGTTGCTGCTGATGATGATGATGGTGCAGGTGTTTTTGCTGTTGGTGACGCGTCTGGCAGTCGAAGTCGAATCGCGAATGCATTCGTTTAGTTTTAATTCTCGAGTGGGCAGCTCGCAAATGAGTAAAGTGAGGCGCCAAAGTTGGTACGTGTGTTACGGGTCCCTGAACAGCTGCTGCAGCAGTCACATGTCCGGAAGCGCAAGCGGCCTGTGCAGATTCCACTGATTGTAAGCCGAGATGTTGTCGCCCGGTTGCTTTGGGCAACTGTTTCACAGTGGCAAGGAAAAGTGAAAGTGAAAATCGGAAAAAGCCCGCACAACTTGCTGCTGCTGTTGCTGCTGTGAACAGTGTGCGGTGGGTGGGCCCCGGGCGATGTAATGGCGGAAATACGACTTGGCAACGTTGTGACGTAGCAACGGAGCAAGAGCAACCAGAACGTATGCACGGTAGAATTACAACTGAACTCAAAATCAAATGTTATCCTAGCAATATGCCTCCGAAAAATAATGATGACGACGGCGATGACGGCGGCGGCGCAGCAACGAATTAAATTACAGCGGTGGTGGTGGTGGTGTTGTCCTCGGTGGCTCCGTGGATGGGTGGGTGCTTGGTTTGATGCTGCGTTGTTATGATTTGTGCCTGCCCGCCCACAGCTACCCCTGGCAGCAGGCAACGTAGTCGCCGTAGCAAATAATCCAACCCAAACCCTTAGCCTTCGGGATTGGAGCCAGAGCTGGAGACGGCAGTGGCAGCGTTTTATTTTTCAAGCGGCGCCAGCTAATTCCGGGCTCAAAGTCGCATTTTCTGGGATCTGAACAAGTGTCGAGAGCAGCCCAAAGATGCTGCTAGTGCAAGTGAGACAGCAACTGCTAGCAGGCAGTACGGCATGTGGCAACGTCGGCGTCAAGGCAACGCAGCCAATCATTCGGGCGCAGAGCTGCCACCATCTGCCTACCCTGTCGCAGCCGCACAGCCTGGTGGTTGCTAGGACATCAACGACTCTCTCTCTCACTTACTCTCACGCACACACTCACAAGCACACACACACACAAGTGCAGTTACACGCTTTCTCAACAACCCCCAGCGGATGCTGCATGCCCTGGCGCTGGCCAACCAAAACGTTTGCTGCCGGCACGCGCTTTTCTTCGCCGTGGATGGGGACAGTAGGTGGGCTGTTGGGTGGGCTGTTGTTGAAGATAACACATATGCCTGCCACTTTGCCACTGCGTGCACGCGTGGTATTTTTCACATATTTTTCTCTCGGCATCGTTGTGTTAATTCAGTCTTTCCTGAATTCAAACAAATATTTCGAATATTAATTCTGGTCTTTTATGAAATGCACACGCGGCCAGTTGTACTCAGTGGGTGTCCATTGCAGCTGTTTGAATGTGGATCTGTGGACACTAGCATGGGCATGGGCACATGTTTAGGTATGAAGCCTCAGGTACATTGACTCTTTTCGACTTCAAACTTTAAAAGCTTATTAGACATTTCTGGGCTTAGCAAGGCAACAAAGTCTAATGAAAAGTAACTCTGTGGTATATTTTTGATCGTGCAGAATCCTATTCAGAGCGATAAAAAGCCATAATTCAATTTGACCAATCAACATGCTTCTGGTTACCATGTTTTAGACATTCCGACCTAATAATTTAACTATATCTGTAGTCTGTAGATTTTTGTGTGTTAACGTTGTCCTCGAAACTAAGAACAGACTATTTCACATCTTACAGTCCACATATACAGAAGATACAGATCAGAGAAGATTTAAGATAGCAGCCTTATATAACTAATTTCAATTGAAATCTATACTATACAAATTTGGTAAAATAGTAAATCACAGATCCTACATTGAGTAAGGATTCTATTGACTTGAGCTATCTTTTTAACTGCATTTCTGTGTAAACGTGTCGATCCCAGTGACTAATCTTTAGAGACTATATTGCAGGGGTTTGTCTTCTTTGATTTCGTTGATCTTAATCAAAGTATAATGCCCTTGCAGAGGGTATTATAATTATGTAACGACCCCATAAAGAATATATATTCTTGATTAGTATCAACAGCCGAGTCGATATAGACATGGCCGTCTGTCGGTCTGTCTGTTTCTAAGCGAACTAGTCTCTCAGTTTTAAAGTCATCGTCATCAGACTTTGTAGAAGTCCCTCTTTCTGTTGCACGCAGTACATATGTCGGAACCAGCTGGATCGGACCATTATATTATATAGCTGCGGTAGGAACGATCGGTCGAAAAGTAGGTTCTTGCATGAACAACTTTTTTGTTTATTAAGATATCTTGACCAAGCTCGGCATATATAACTTTCACTATGGTCCCTACATTTATACAAAATCCTTTTTACATCGGACTACTATATCATATAGCTGCCACAGGAACGATCGGTCGAAAAGGAGGTTCTTGCATGGAAAACTTTTTGTTTTTCAAGATATCTAAGCCCAACTCGGCATTAACTATTTTCCCAGAGCTTCTTAGATAACTGGCAAAGCACTATGAGCATCCCCATAAAGTATATCTATTCTATTAGTAAACATGTTTATGTAATATTCGCATATACTTTGTTAATAATAAAAGTGGATTGGCCAGATCCACATCCTTTTGACAACAAGATAACAAAAAAAAATATGCTTTATTAATATTAAAACTCTCCTGTGCATTCCATGGAAATTAGTAAACTTTCTATATGCTTGCAAATGAGAATTCATTGCCAGGATAGCCGACAAGTGCAGGGCGCCTCATCCCTAACAATTGTTGTGCTTTGCTCACAGTTTATCCGTGCATCTGCTGCAGTCGAATCAACAACAACAAATTAACCTTTTGTAAACAGACTGCACCTTGCTTAGAAAGGGGTCTGGCACATTGAATTCAGAACGCTTTATACAGCTTCAAACGTTGCCTTCGATTCGGCCCTTAGATAGCACAGAATTCTATATGAAGTGCGATTTGCCTTTGAAAATGATTGCGATCTAGCAAACTTTGCTGTTTACCCAATTTAAAGAAGCCCGGCATATGCTGATTTTCCCGGACAGTCTAACAGCTAACGTACAACCACTTTGGTGCCTTAGTTAAGCTTCTATATAGTTAGCTGGTAAGGATTGAGTTTGCAGCGTTCCATATTTAGTTGTTGCCTTTATTAAATTTTAAGCTTTTTCTGCATCGTCGATTTGATGAGCACCCCACCAAATCGTATCAATTGAAACATTCCCATTATGTGAGAGAGAGGTAAGTTTGAGGACAGCTGAATGGAGCGGGGGCGGCAGATAGTGTTCTCCCTATATAATCTTCGAGTATTGTGTTGAATTTGGGCCGTAGTCCACCTTCAATTGTCAAATATTCCTCATAGTGCGTGGAAGTGAAGCAATACAAAAAGATAGCCGATTATTGGAACGTCGAAGTCTGTATACTCTTTCGCAGTTAAACTATATATGCACTTGTGATATTTTCTGTTATATGCGAATGATTGAAATTACAATGACAGAGTCGACATACCCTTTTAGAGGGCATAAGTAGTATTAATACACAGCGGGCGGTTATTAATGAGTCGCCGCGTGAAGGGTGCTCGCGCTTCTGTCTTCCTGACCCCCTGCTCTGACATCCCATTCCCTTTCTGATTTTCATCCCACCTCAATTTGTTGTGATTACTTGCCGTATTTGTTGTTAGCTCCGCTGGTGGTGGTAATTTGCGCTAATAAAATCAAGTATCATGGGCAAGCAGTTCTAGTTTCCGGCGCCCCCCTCTTTGTGCAGTTCGCTGTTCGCAGCCGCAGTCAGCAGCGCAATCGAAGTCGGCAGCGTGTGATCCTGCCCTATAGATAGTGCTCACCAAGTGTAATCTCGATTAATTCATTGTGTAGCGCTGAAGTGGAATATAATAATTATGTGTACGGGTGTAGGGTATCGCTCCCAATTCACTCCCCTTGAAAACACAGCTGCACTTTGCCACACTTTTCGTTACTTTGTATTGCACGTGCCGCAACTGGTGCCGTGTCCTGTTGTTAAGGCTACCTCTGCACAGGTAGGTCTATCATCCGCAACGGGGTGACTGTTAAGTCTGTGCGTCTATCTGTCTGTCGGTGTCTATCAGTGTATATGTTGGGCTCTTCTTACCCGCTCATCTCTGCTCGTTTCAGTTTTCAAATTAAGTCGCTTTAATTGTGATATCAAGCAAACGTTTAAAATGCACAGGGATTTAGCTGGTTCCATGGCCCTGCCCGCTGCGCCCCTCAGGGACGACATGCTGATCCTGTGATTATGTTTGTTTACAAAGGCGCGACTTTTGCCGTTTGCTGTTTGTTTGCTGGATTTTTTTCGCTTTGATTTCGCACGACTCTGCAAGCGTGAGCGTACGCGATGAACCGCCAGGACTTGCGCGCGGTTTTTCTCGCTCGCCAAAAGCCAGGCCAATTTTCGCTTTTTTAACTATAATAAATATGTATCTGTAACAATTAAAAAATTGGATGCCACTGGAGACAAAAATAATGGCTGACATATATACATATCTGGCATATTATGTTTTTGAAACATGTATGTGCTTGTTTAAGAGGCATTTCCTGGATTTTTTTTTTATTTAATAGGATCTTCTGATTGTTTTGTAAACAATAAACCAATTATGAGATACCAAAAACGCGCTGGACGTTAACAGATCATATACAAACATATATTTTTTTAATATGAGCCGAATCTGATACCAAACCATTTTACCAAAAAGACAGCCCAAGCAGTAATAACAAAACCATTCGTTTACTCAACCATCATTTTGATTTGGTACATACCAATTTTGGGTGGGAGTCAAAACAAGCTCTTTTCTTTGCATATGAAAATTTGTGCATCGTGCAATGTTTAGTCAATCAATGAATAAAAGTTGAATTGTTTCATACAAATTTAGAAAATATATGACAGGCAAAAGTTTTAAAATTAATACTATTAAAGCATAATAGAGTTAGTTTCAAGAACCTGCACTTCAAATATATGAAATCGAACGGCATACATATTTTTATTTTATATATATTTATATTTTTAGAAAACCTTTCCTGCTTTTAATGCTGAACCTTATACAAATAATTTCGGAAAACGGAGTATTTTGTCATATAGAAACTCAATTTACAACTTACAATTACGTATAATAATATATTAATACGATCTTAATTGGATTTGGCTCATATAAAAGCAGCATATTTAAACTAGTAAATGTCCGGTACGGTTAATATATATTGATAAACAATAAAGTTATTCAAACAAGAACCAAATTTCGACTGGTCGTTCCTAAAGAAAACAGGCGGACCTATATGGCTATTGAGGCTGCCCAAGAATATAAATGTATTTTGTGGGGTCGGATATGGCTTTTGCTATCTGTTACACATATAATGACAGAACCATAATACCCTTTACAAGCGAATAAAAAATACAAATTGAACAGTATTCTTCGCTAAATGTGCACAATCAACTTTAGCAAAAAACGGTTGAGTTTCTTTTATAGAGGATGTGTTAAGAATGAACACAACATCAAGAACTCACTAGCGTTGATGTCGTGAGAGAAGTAGAATGAAAGATAATCGAGATTTTGATATTGATGTACAGCTCATAAGTTATGTGAAAGCGAGTTGTTAATAGACTATTTCTAAGTCTATGTCTCAATTTCCATTTATTACAGCTTTTGCGATGGCTATAAACTAAAACATTTTAAAGATTTGAAATTTTGTTGAGACAGCCTAAGTATAGTCATGAATCGGTAATATAACAACAACAGCAGCAATTCAAAGCTGTTTCAGAGTTTGTGAGGGGTGAATATATAGTCCTGTTTGTTATGGACTTGCCTTTTGGCAAGAATTCAAATTTATAACCTACATCTTTATATTCAGAATACATTACTTATGAAATAATGACATTGTGTCATTGGAAAAACGTAAGAAAAACAGACAGTAGAATAATATTGGCTCGACTCACCCGTTACAGTGATGAATGGTGTGCCTTCATCATCCTCGGTAGCCTGCACCACGGTCAATTGGCCATTGGCTACTTGTTGCGCTAGATCGACGCCACTCTTGATGGCACTCAAGCCCGGCAAAGTGTGTATGGTGGTTGTGCTGTTGGTTGTGCCCGTGGCTCCCTGCTCGCTGCTGCTAACATTATTAACGGCATGGATATGGGCGTGAAGGTGCGCTTCCTGGCTCGAGTCACTGGTATCCATGGGCAGCACTACGCGAATGACCTCCAATTGATCGGTGGTCGTTGTGGTGTCATCGCCAATGCCGTCTCTCAGTTTCTTTTGTAAGAGCTGGCAATTCTGAAACAATAACAGAATCAATGAAAGCCATCTTAAAGTTGATTTTATATGAGATGTAGGTAGAAGAGATGGCAACCTGTGTCATGACATCCTCCAAAGTGGCAGCCACAACAACTCCATCCTCGGTGCAGAACTCAAACTCCTCAGCATGAGTTGTCGGTGTTGCGGGTGTCCTCGGCTCTACGGTCAGCACATCGCCAGAAGCTTTAGGCACAAGCTGCTGTTGCTGTTCCTTGGGATCTGTTTGGCTGGCATCTACTGTGGCGGCTTCAACGGCGGCGCTCGTCGTGATGATGAACTGGCGCTGGGTTGCCAAGCGTGTGCTCATTTCATTTGCTTAATGCTCTACAATCTAGGTCTTAATTGTATTTGTAAAATGTATTTATTCTACAAGTCGTTTGGTTAAAGTAAAAGGCCAGAGTTTTGCACTTTCGATGCGAAATTCGTTGACTAGACAGCAGTTGATCTCCTTTTCTCGCTCGCGTCCTCTCTCTTTATCTCTCTCCCTCTCCAACTCTCTCGCTCTCTCGTTGTAAGGCAATTGCGGTACTTAAATGTATTCAGTTACTTAAGTTCCTAACAGCTGCAATGAAAGTAAAAATTTATTGTACTGATTGTAACACTACAAAGCCTAAAATATCGTCGCTAAAATTAGAAACCCAATTTGCCTTCACCCAAAATCAAGTGCCATACAAATGCCTCTTACTATATGATGTGCTATGCATTTGGAATTCTTGTTGTTGTTGCTGTTTTTGTTGATATTCTTTCTCTTGATGGCATTGTAGCTTGCCTACTTGCTTTTGGGGGTTGACTGCTTCTGATGGGGCGTTGCTATGAAATTAAACATTTCACAGGTATTTTCTTCATACTTTGATTTACTCGTCGCTTTGTTCTTCTTTTCGCCTCAAAACAACAACAGCACCAACAACAGCAGCCCGCATTCAGCACAAATTTCTGTTAGCTTTTGTTGTCGAACTGAAAGACGCCATTTTGGTTTGCGCTCGTTTTAGTGGCATCTTTTAGGCGCTAGATATCATTTGTAGCATGCCTTTCAGGTAGGTGGCCGTATGTGTAGGTGGCCTGAACTAATTACACTGTACATAGAGACCTCTTTGATTATTCATTGAATGCAAATGTATATGTATGTGTGTTATTAAAACATACATATACATATGTTCTTCATTGGTATTAACAATTTCAAATATGGCCAAAAGCATTGATATATGTATATATTTTCTCAAGACTCGCTCACTGCCTTATCAAATGCCTAAATAGAATTGAATTATTACATGTAAATAGGTTTTATTATTCATATTCATTCGGGCTGGGTTAAGATTATTCCCAAGTCCAGTAATTTACGTGCTTATATTCATTTTGTTATAAAATATGCATCCGTTTCATTAGTACATCTTCTTATAAGAAGTAGGATATAATGGGACTTTCTCTTTTCCGTTCTAAAGCATACTAAAATATACTCACGAATCACGAATTGTTGATCAGTATAAAAAGCCGAGTCGATATGGCCAAGCAATACATTTGTTTAATCCCATACGAATACTTGGTATAAAATACATTTTTTATGAATTTTATGTTCATTTTCAAAATGTATTGGCATTAACTAGTTTAACTATGCACTTTTGTTAATATTTAACTACTACCATATCATATCGTATGTTCTATAGGTAGAATCGGTCAAATAGGGAGATTTTGTTTTGAAAACTTTATAATTTCAAGATATTTTTACAAAATTCAGCAATTAAGGCGTCCAGTTTTCAGCAAACCCGTCCACAAGGGTATTTAATCTTCGGCGTGCCGAAGACAGCTGCTCTTTTTTGTTTTAACTTTAGCTCCGTGCCAATCATATTCTGTCAAAAGCATTTGCTTATTACACCACACTTATTTATTGCAAATACCTTTATCTAATTGATTTTTGTATATTTTTTGTTGACTTTTATATTTAGATCCGTTATTGCACAAACTGCATTTATGAATTTCTCACTCAAAGTCACGCTCTCTGGCACATCTTTGTGTTTTCCCTTTGGCCCACAGTTGTTCACTGGGCAACCGGTTTAATGTAAATAATATTTGCCGAAACGCCGCTGGCAACGCCAGCCCAGCCAGTGGAGTGTCCAGACAGGAGACGGCAACTAGGAATTTGAGCAGGATTGGGACTGGGAATGCATTGAAGTAGTGATGGAGCTGAGGTAACAGGGCGCCGCCGACAACGACGACCCGGCATACGTCATATAGTCGAACTTGTAGTCCCAGTTGTTGTTTATAAACAATAAACGAAGTCAGCGGCGATTGAGCGTCATTTAACGGGGTGTGCAGGGGTGTGAGGCTGCCCTGGCGGCAAGTTGTGTTGCAAGTAGAGGGTTAATGCGTTGCCCTCCAGGAAGCACAAGGTGCCTGGGCATTAGTATACAAATCAAATAGTAAAACCATGCGGACAAGTTCATAAATTTAACGTGTGAAAAATGTAGCTTGAGAGAAACACAGACACAGACACACACAAACACACAAACACACACACACACACACACACACACACACACACACACACACACACACACTAACACTAATATCGAATCACTAAGGACGCGCCACGGAGAATTATCGATCAAATAAGTTTCGCATTTTTTTGTTGTTTTTCTCGAATTTTTCTTCTTACTTTACCAACCGTTTGCCATATTTCCGTAAGCTTTGGTTCCATTGACTACCTCTGCGGGGGATCTTTCACTTTTCGATACTGTTCTCGTTGTGGCAGTTGTTGTATGTGGTGGTGCTGCCGCTTGCTGTGCTTGCAACGAACGTAAATGTGCAACTACAGCACGAATCATATTCAGGCAGCTATTATTGTCGGGCAGGTGGCCGCTCGAGCTCAAGTGCCAACGGCGGGGCGTAGGGGGTAGTTAATAGCTAATAGAGTTGGTCAATATGCTGCTGCGTTTTTCACTAGTGGTGGTGTGTCTAGAACACACACAATCAGCTGCACAAGCGAGACAGAAATGCGTTTAGGCACGGCCCAAACAACGCTACGCAAATGGCCTGCCAACGAGCACTGCAGTTTCAGGATACTTTTTGGCGCTGAGCCTCTGCTACCCCATTGGAAATGCATTTACGTCAAGGTCCTAAATGCCCAGCGGCAGCTGTGTCGGCGATATAGGAAGAGTTAGTTGGTGGCTCAGCCAGCGTGACGCTTTTACCGAAAAGGTAGCATTTGTTAGGTTCAGTTGAGTTTCGACTGGGTTGCAGGAAGACAGCATATCATCGGCAAGGAAAAATATAACCTATATAGAAAAAAGTTAGGTTTTAAGCAGCTGCCAGTTGTCGCAAATAAATTTGAATATAACAGGAATCGCCATGGATCAGCATCAGAAACTGCTTCCAGTTCTGGTTTCGTTTTTCTATGATAGTTTTGATCAAGTTCGATCTATCTACCAACACATTGACTTAAAGGTTGAACAAACTTCAAATAATAATATATAAGTTAAACCTTAGGTAAGCCACACCTTGCAACTGACTCTAGATCTGCAAAAATTTGCCCTCAGTCCGAAGCTATAACCACTTGAGAATTATAAGCAGCGAAAAATCGAAAGAGCTAGCATAAACAGCCTGTTTAATACTGTGGCCTGTTGGCCACTAAACACATTTGGTCAACAACATTTATCCCTTATACACTAGTCGAAAGTATACTCCCAGAATATGCTTTATAACTAGTTCTAAAAACCTTTTCATGAATGCCGAACTAACTTATTTGTCGACTAGGTAACCGCATTAGCCGAACGCAGTTTACCCTTGAATCACGTGGACCAATATTGGTTCATTGTTATAGATAATAATCAATACCCAGGCATTAATAAAGTCTGTAATGTGTTTGGGCCAATGCTAAAAGAGAGTTCGGATAGATTCGCTAGGGAATAGGCTGCTAGAAACGAAATATACATAGTATTGGATTGAGCTGGACATGTGCAGTGCAGATCAGAGACTCTCTTATCCTCTTCTCTATATAAAGTTGTAAAAGAAATACATAAGCTTCAAAATTCGAAAATAGAGGTACTCGCACCTATTTCATCACTTTCCAATTTAAGAATCAATAATTTTCTAGCGCCTTCTTATATTTTTCACGTGAGCCCATCTATCTTATAACACTCGCAACCAGGAACCGAAAACCATGAGCACCTTCCAGACAGTATGTGTTGGTCCCAGTCCACAATGATTATCAGGCGAAAGTACATACATAGTCTGATTGTCACAAACTCGTTAATGTACCGATGGACTTGTTTATGCAAAGAGTATGACGAAAAGATGTTGAAGCGAATTTTTGTTTTAGCCTGATTCTTGATAGATGAAACAGGTTTCAAAGGAAATAATCATATTTGTGCGTTTGTATCATCGTAAATATTTTTCAATTGTGAAATGCATTTCATTACGTTATTAACGTTTATTTGAGTTTAAGTTAGTTTATCTTTCAGTATGTGCTTCAAAAAATGGCAAAAACATTTTTAGATTAGCTTTGTTGAAATAAAGTTGATATGAATATGTTTCAACTCAATTACGTCAAACAATTTAATTTCGTTTGTAATTTTTAAATATTATCATATGTCATAGGGAAGAATAAGTTACTCGACAACTGTCCCTTGCACTAATTAGTTAAAATTCTACTGCAGCAGTAGGTTAGCTGCAAAAATCGGTTAGGAGAGTTGCCAGAGACGCAGTCAGCATCATGACTGTGGGCAAACTGTGGACAGCAATTTCTTATGCTTACAACTGTTTCTATGGGTATTTAACCGAATATGTTGCAAACTAATTGAAATAGTTAATTGGGAGTTAGCTGAATGGCAACAGGCTTGACCTGTGCAGCTTTGTGTTGCAAATTACCAAGCTCAGATCACAATAAGCATGTCGAAACTATGCTCTTTGATGATGAGCTTGTGTATTGTTGACAGTCATTACAACAGGCATCAGTCGTCAATTGCTCTGACAGGTATTATGGGTGCGTTCGCTTGGCATGTGCCGACCCAGCCCGCCCCCGCGCACCGCCTCACCTTCGGCCCAGGCAGTCAAGCAAAACATGGTGCGGGGCAGTAAAGCGGAAACATGCACCGAGATGCTTGTTTTACACCTGGTGGTCGTTCGGTTCGGAACCGCGCACGTTGTAATGTGCAACCGGCCATGGCAGCCGTAAGAGTCTCGCACACGCCACTTGGATGCGAAGGTGCACGCGGCTAGCTGTGTCATATACATACATGTATACATAAGTATGCGCTGCCTTGCTGCTATAAAATTGTACCTGGATATGGGGGTTGGTTGGTTTGTGTGTCCGAGAAGGACTCGTCTTAATTGCCTTTAAATATGGAGCTTTACAAAACTGTCTTGCGCTGGAAAAGTCGAGGCGTAAGTGAGTTGGTGTAATTTTCTCATTTTCCCGTTCAATGAAAACTCATTTACTGTGCCACAAATGCTCGTAATGCTGGCAAAATGGAAAAAGTTATGTGCTTTTGATCTTTGCTAGCGGCACTTCACGGTTGCTTGAAAGTTTTTCATTTTTTATTTTGCCTTTTTTTTTAGATAAATGTGAAATTTTTCCCACCTGCGAGGGGGCGAATGGACAGAGCGTGGGCTACCTAAATCAGACCAATGGATTTTTCTAGCACTTACCATATCAAATGTGTAGTATCATCGAGGGCTTCTGTCGGTATCCTGGCCGATAATGTGCATTTCAAAAGTAATTTATTTGCACTTTTTGGTCATTTTATTGTAGTTAATTTTAAAGAAATAAAAAGAAAATTTTAATTTCGTTGCCTGTATGTACGATATCCTTCATTTGGTATGAAAATTAGACCGGAAGGAAGTGTGGCGCTCACACACACACACAGAAGATCGACCGAGCTGCGACGTAACTTGTTGTGTTTGGGTTTTTCGTTTCCTTGGCAACAACAGGGGACAACAACAAACAAAGTGTTGGCATTTTATTGACCAAAGGGCGCTATCCAGAACATTACACTATTATCGGCTCAGCTGTTATTGTTGCTAGTTGATGAATATTGCACGTTGGTTTTGTAATTAATTGCCTAATATTATTGCACGGAATTGGTAACTATTGTTAAAATGTGAGTAAAATTGTTTCACTTAACTGTGAACAGCTGACTCGGCATTGTGCAGTGTTGGCAAGCGACCATATCGCAACTGCCATCCGAATACAACTGCTGCTGTCTGGCAACGTGGCAGTGTTGCATGTCTGGTTTTGCCATTCACACTGTTCGCAAACATTTGAATTTGCCGGTTCATTCAAATTAAACATGTGAGCTACAAATATATAATTACTATATGTTTTAGTTAAGGAAAAACTCGTCCAAAATTAAACAAAGTCTCATATTTATTACACTTTTGTTACTCTGGGCTTGTCATCTAACACGATCTATTTATTATATTTGTTTTTTGCGTTACCTCGTAAAAAACGTGATCAATTTACTGCACATTATATACTTGTTAATTAATTTGTTGCGAAGTGCAATTTTAACACTTGACTGGCACAACAGCAACAACAATTACCGGTTCAATAAGGCAATGTCTCCCTAGTTAATGGTAGAATGAATTTACTTGTCTGCAATAATTGAATATGAGTTCACCATATATTCATATTCGTATGCACGTAAATTGTATATACATATAAAGATATGTATCTATATATATGAGTTCCATTTAAATACACACGTTTATATAAGCCAATCAATTATTCCAGACCAGTAATACATGCTACCATTTACTAAGGAGATATATATATATAGATATTTATATATATTTTCTCAATGCTGCTCGTCCAGTTTTGCTCAATTACCCAGCCGGCAGTTTTTGAGTGCTCGCGCACGTGTTGCACATTGACTGACTCGTGGACTCGGGAACATGCGAGCTCCGCCAGCTCAATAGTCGCATAGTCCGGGCATTTGATGTATGCATATTTGAACTTTCCATGCAAAATTGCATTATTTACAGCGATTGTTTTCAATTTTTTTGTTTGTTCACAGCGGTCATTTCAAAAGGTGAGCGGGCTTTTTTATTTACATGTTTAAATTTAGCGCGAATCGCGTTTTCAACAGACTGAGACATTGATAATAATAAGAGGATAAGAATGATAGCACATTTACTCATTGCATATGTCAATAACGATCACTCGGAATGAATGAATTCATGATGGAATTTATCCGTTCTTACATGCCTATTAATCGATATAGAGCTTTAATAGTCCAGATAGCGATTCCATGCGTTCGAGTAGGGATATTTAAAGATAATATATTTAAGAACTTTACAGGAAAGGCACAATTTCAATGAAGAGGTTAATATACTATTCTTTACTGTGAGGAAACATCAGTTTATTATTTTAAAGTCTAATACTTTATGATTTGTGAAGTTGAAGGTTTTTTATCAATACACACTCTATTGCTGATTTGCAAGTAGAGTTCGAGTTGAAGTTTGGATACAAAGAGCTGACTACGACGGGCAATAAAGGGCTGATGGGGGTACAAAAGCCGCTGCTTAAAATCGGAGATAAATTGCGTTAGGAATTGCCTTAAATATAAATATTAACTTTGGATCGATCAGGAGAAGCTCATTCATAGTCTCCAAACCATTTTGCGTATATCTGCTAAAGTGAGTCCAAGCATACGTTTTTCCAAAGAACCTTCAACTTCAGGAGTCAAATTGTATTTTACATAGATATAAATATGCCAAACTGACTTTGAAATCAATCGGTTGAAAACAAAAACCTGAAGAATGATAAAAAAAGCTACACCACGTTTTCGACTTCCATTTTTCAAAGAGCTATAAAAACAAGTTTGAGTACTATCGGATAGTCAACAGAAAAGATTCAAAAATCTTCGTTCTCGAATATTCTACATTTGCAAGTGGGATTTCGCAGTCAATGTGTATTTGGCACAACAAACGCAAGTCGCAGCGCCTCATTTAGACACTGGCAGTTATTTAAGACAGTCCCGATATTTACTCGGGAAACATCTGTAATCACAGTCATCGATGGGTCACGAATAATCTGAAATTTTAAAGTTGAGTTTCTTGACCACACCAAACCCTTACTCGATCACATCTGCTATCCCAAATGAATTCTTAGTAGTTCAATTTAGCTGATTATATTTGCAAAAAATGCCAGCTTCTCTGCCTGGCTGTAGAGTTGGCAAGACCCCAAAACATATTTGTAATTTATTAGCTGTTTTTTAGAATCCATCATAACATGATCACAAGTTGAACGATTTTGTTATTAAAAGCTAATTATTATTAATTTCTTTCGCCGTTTGGGGGCACCTTAGAACTAACGAAGTTAGATTGCCAACTCGCAGCCTTATCACGACTTGGCTGTTGCATTGTGCAATGAACAGACTTGCGATGCACAACAGGTAGCACTTTTCACAGTGAAAGAAGGTTATTCAAGTAGCTGAGCACAAAATACGACGTTCGTAGCACACGTAAGCCACGTCAATCAATCTCCAGCAGAGAACAATTATTTTTCATATCGGTATGAGTATTTTTTTTTTAAAACGCATTTAATTCCAAATTGTATAACGTTCCTGTCGCGCACATTTCCAGTCGCACAGTATGTATTTCCGTTACGATACGAAAAGTGCGTCAAGAGGCCCTGCTTTAGAGTACATGGTACATATATATATGTATAGACGTGGATACATTTCGTTCGTAACTGGGCCGATGTAACTGACATGACAAGCATTAGCTGCGACTGTTTTGCAACATTGTCAGTGCTTCTCGGCTTTGGATTGGCATAACAACGTCTTCTACTGCCCGGTTTGAATTGTACACGTGGCGTATGCGTAACGCCGAGAACCTTCGTTCTCCTTGGGTTATTTTACTTACAGCAGTCGAGACAGACAACTGGGCAGTCCAGACAAGTTTTATATATGCTGTCGTTCCTTATTGACGATGTTATTAGTTACATTTTAGTAGACTAGCTGGATATCATTACTAACAAATGTTAGTCCCACTCTCCTTAGGGTCAATAAACTGAGGAAACATAAGAAAACGCAAGACCAAGATGGCTGAGTCGCTAAGAACATATTTCATGAGAACTAAGGATGGCTTTCATCTTACTGAAGGAAACGTAAGCACCCAAGTGTGTTGCAAGCGTGCCCACATCTGGCGATGTCGCGGGCTTCGAGGGATAGCTAAAAGTAGTAGTAGATATCTTATCTTTGTTTTGGTTCAGAGCTCCAACATGGAGATAACATCGTAATACCGAGCTCGTTAATTTACACGTGAGTATACAAACTATATATGCACACCAACAACAGCTATGTTCAAAGCTTCGGCGTCACCTTGTCGCCAGAGTCTCAAGCTCGATAGGAAATTAAAAACCCGCTTTTTCTGATTTATCAACGGCAGCATTTAAATGCAAAACGTGTAACACAGTTTGTAAGTTTTACATAAGTTAGCGCGAATCGAAAATAGAACTCGAGACCGCAAAGCAAATAACAAAATACTTTGAAATCAAATGAAATGCAAATAATAATAAAAACTAATTAAGATCAATGCTGCTCGACTAGAAGCTACCCTGTCCAAACTGTTGCATGGCTCTATATCTATCTATCTCTATATCTATCTCTCTCTACGTATCTAAAATCTGTAAAATAAATTCATCATTCCTTCACATCTATTTGCCGGGCAGTATTATTGCTTATCTATCTATCTCTATATCTATCTCTCTCTACGTATCTAAAATCTGTAAAATAAATTCATCATTCCTTCAGATCTATTTGCCGGACAGTGTTATCACTTAATTTATTTTATTGGTGATTCCGTAACGTTTTAATTCTATGATTTATCTAAAAAATGTCTATTAGAAATAATTCATAGAAAACAGTTGTCCTGAATGTCTGAAATTATTTCTGTGTTAAGGGTCACAAGGGACGGGGTTTTAGAACATTCCACCCGCAAGTTTGGTAAAGATGGTGGAACACTGTAGTAAAAAATATGTTTGATTACCTTTGATTGAATTCATTTGAGACCAATTTTGAAAAATGCGTCGCTCCTTGATAGAAATGAGAGTCTGGTGTTTAATGGGCCAAGTTCAAGTTGAGTCCCAACGCTTTCATACTTATTTTCAAAGTCACACACAAGTAGTTAATTAACTCCATTTGAGCGGTTTTGGGAATTCCACCTATAACTATGGACATTGAACCAAAACTAACCAAACGGATTCATACAAACTATTGTGCGAATACGGGTTTGACGTATTACGCCAAATCCACACACTTTTTAATGGATAATGCAGGTCAAAAGTTACATCCGTTACACGCATCACATTGAATTTGATTGATTAATGGATCTCAAACTGATTTTCAATGATCTATGTCAACCATAGCTTGAGATACAACTTTCAGGTGTACAATTCAGTTATCCGCGCAGCTAATACACCTGATCGGGGTGTAAAAAGCACGCAATATATGTACATACAGATGAGTATGCATTAAATGTATTATTTTTTATGTACGTTTAATTAATGCAAAAATTGTTATTTTGCCGGACATCTTCCACTCGGAGATTGTAGCTATTAAGAGTGTGTGCAATTGTTCGTATTGGGGTTTTCTAGTACTCATTTGTTTATCCGCGCCAACACGTGTCGGGTTTTACGACTGCCGACTGCGTAGAACCATTCTTTATTCAAATATTTTCCGAGATTTCCTGCTGCAGCTGGATTGAAAAAGAAAATTGTGTTTACATTATCAGCAAGTGTATATATGTATATCAACTTATATATAAATACTCAAGGACTATGTATGGCTTGTACTTTTATCAGTGAACTAAACCACTTTTATTGAATTTACCTCGACTTTGAAATTATAATTTTGGCAGGCTGATAAGCACATGTATTTCTTCTGCTTTTGCTTCTTACGTTATTGCTATTAATTTATATGAGCCAAAAGTGTGCACGACTCTTTGGTTTATTAAAAAAGTGTATACATATGTATGTACGTAATGCTGTTCAACCATATATTAAATGTGATGCTAATCGAATATAGTAAATTTATGAAGCAAATTGGTTAGCACACACCCATTTTGTTTGTACCGTTTCGTGGCCTTTTTCCCAA